TTGTTGTTTAAGTTGGACTCAGTCCAACTCTGGCTGGCAACCACCAGCAAGCAGTTCCCAATGTGGAAATTGGGGATTGAGGAGAGGACTGACCCAGCAGACCCCAAAGAATGGGGACTGTGGACTGAACTACTGAGAAGAAAGGTATAAGTCAGCTTTCAAACCTAAGAAATTTGCCTAAGTAATAGCTTGTATCACAAGGTCTACAGTTATTTATATGAAGTTTTAAAGCACTTCCTGGCAATCTTTAACACCCATTTGAAATGAGACCAAACGAAAAAAATCTCAGTAGCTACATTATAAATTATGTAAAATGAAGATGGGATCACTGGCAAGAATGTCCACTGCTCATTGAGCATTTATTTAGCAATGGGCCGATTGATGTTCAGATATTAATCTTTTGATCCCTAGCACAATGTCAGGATTAAACACTTGTACTATCCCGACATTTAGGTGAGAAGATGAAGACTCGGGGAGGTTAAATTGAACCTCTTGCCCAAGGAAGGGTCAGGCTGGATGGGCCTGCATGTGTCAGGGCCCAGAGCCTGGCACATGCACAGTATTCTCTCCAGAATCTTTTGGCTTAGTGAAGAGACTGGATTCAGGATGTAGCTACTGTCCCCCTGGTTGTTCGGAATCTGTTGGCCCACTTGGCCTGGGAGGCTTGACACATATGGGCTTCCTACTGAGTCTGGCCAGAAGGGAGAACCCTGAGGAGGTGGGTAGGCATCCATTCCTCCAGCTCTCTCCAGCAGTCCCTGACACCACGGGTATCCTTCTGCTCAAGGCCACAGCCTTAAGGCTGCGCTCTCCACAGCGCCCTCTGGTACCAGGCTGTGGTAACTACAGACTCCCCTGCCTCTCGCTGTTTTCCTTAGACCAGGTTCTTTCTCTCTTTGTAAATAGTCCCTTCATAAATCACCAACCTGAGTGTGCCTTTTGTTTCCTGCCAGGAGCCTCACTGGTGCACCAATCTCACTCCTGAATTGTGTGAACTATCAAGTTCTCTGGGCTTAATCTTTACCTGTCAAGCAGGGATCAATTCCCCCTGTGACTAGAAGAAAATCACAGGTGGAAAGGCATATTGGAAAACATAAATAATGTGAGCCAGCAAGATAATGCTGAGAGGGACAGAATGAGTATTTAATACATAATTTGAATTAGAACATCCTTTGTGAGAAAACTGAGCCTCTGAGATGCTGAATGTTTCTATTCTGAAAAACCTGGTAAAAACAAACTAGAGAAAAGAATATTGTAGAAGAGAAGGAGAGGAAAGGAGAACTTTGTTTTGCTTTTGCTTTTGATGGTAGCAATGGTGTATTTAAAAGCCCCATTTACTTTGGAGTCTGTGATAAAGGTACACATAAAACAAACATGAGAAAGCAGAAGCTGGTTTCATCCAAAGGGTGAAGCAAAGGCCGCGGCTGCAGCGTGTCCCTGTGTGTCCCCCTTTGGCAAGTGTGTGCCAGAGGATGCCTGGCCTCCTGGGATAGAACTCAACCATGGCAGTTTCCTTTGAGATCTTCAAGCTGGGAAGGGGCACTTGATCTTTCTCTCTCTCTCTCTCTCTCTCTCTCTCTCTCTCTCTCTCTCTCTCTCTCTCTCTCTCTCTCTCTCTCCTTTTAAAAGCCACGAATCCAGGCATGACACCCCTGGGTGCAGGCACAGGAATGGGAAATGTGCCTATCAAGCCAAACTCCCTCGTTTGAAACACCTTGCTCAGTGGACAGCTGTCTCAGCTCCTCCCCCATGCCCGTCAGCAGGGGCTTTTGAAGTTTCCCGTCTGTAGAATGAGAATAGCTACACCATCATTCCCTCCCAATAAACTAATTGGAATACCGCCAACAACTATCTTCGCAGAGAATTGATGCTGAGCAATTCTGAATATGAGTTAGCTGATATGGTTTACTAACATGCCTCCTTTCCCAGAAGTATGCTGGGCAGCTCAAACCGCCAACCTTTCACTCCATAAATATTCAACTCATGAAGATGAAGTTGTGTTCAAACAACTGATACATTGAAGGATGTCTTACTATTTTCTAACCAAATAAAAAATTCTAAATTAACCTTAAAAATTGCTTTTAAAAAGTCTTTCGTACTAGTAAGTTTTAAACAAAAAGGCTTTCCATTTCATTTAAGAATTATATGCAAATTACAGAACAAAACTTTATAGCCCTTCAAACGGTTTTTCTTTATTTATATACTAGAGGCCTGGTGCACAAAATTTGTGCACTGAGGGCTTGGGTCCTTCAGCCCTGCCTGTGCCCTCTCGCAGTCTGAGCCCCTTGGGGGATGTCCCACTGATGGACATCCTTAGTGCTGCTGCAGATGTGGGAGAGGCTTCTGCCACCACCACTGCACTCATCAGCCATGAGTCTGGTTTCTGATTGAGTGGTGCTCCCCCTGTGGGAGTGAACTGACCACCAGCGGGCATCTCCTTCATTAAGTGTCTGCCCCCTGGTGGTCAGTGCACATCATAGCAAACAGTCATTCTGCCATTCACTCAATTTGCATATTAGCCTTTTATTATATAGAATTTTGTCTAGCAACTTAACAATTCAAGGTGATTTCTATACACTAGGACGTTTGGACAGCTTTTTAACTATGTTTTGTATGTGCAACTGTCCTGTTTTCTTGGAGAAATGTTGTGACTGAGCGTGATTAGTTCTGTCCCATGGAGGATATTTTCCCATCTCATTTTTGTTCATTAAAAATTTAAGTGGAGATGAATTTCTGATGAATAACCAGCTCAGGATAGGAGTACTATAGTGAGCACAGCAGACCCTACCTATTTGGTTACTAGTATACCCATTCTTCCCTCTGCCTGCCTCACAAAATTCTGAGTTTATTGGGGGCAGTAATTTACTCAGTTAAAATACTCAGCTTCCCAGGTTACCTGCTGTTAGGATGGTTATGTGACTTGCTCTAGTCATGAAATTATGTGGAAGTTGGCTAATGGGGCTTCCAAAAGAGCTGCTGAGATGGGCCCCCCTCTCTCTGACTGTCCATCGTGCCTGGGTGGTGACTGCTGCATTGTATTTGCACATGGACATTGAGCACTTAAGCCGTGCTGGTCATACCTTGGATTGCCCTCCCCCGTCAGGCTTCCTGTTACCTGGGAGTGTTAAAAAAGATATAAGAGATATGCATAATCCATGGACACAGACAATAGGGTGCTGAAGGCCTGGGGCGGGAGGTGAGGGGGCGGGCTGGAGGGGGCCAATGGAGGGAAGGGGGGACATATGTGATACTTTCAACAATAAAGAATTATTAAAAAAAAAAAAAAGATATAACAGTCCCCAAATGGAGTAACTTATGCAAAACTCATATCATCAAACCAAGACTTACTTGTAACCTAATTGCCCTTTTCATCCCCCTAGAGGAAGGTGACCTTGCCTGGAACAATGTCCCTCCCCCTTCTGCCTATGCATTTTGAACAGCTCCTCAGAGCACTTTTATCTGTGCTAGAAGGGACACTGCACCACTCATGAATCACTGAATAAATCCAATTTGATCTTTAAATTTACATTGAATTTTGTTTTTACAGAGTTGATGCCAGTGACAGACTCCAAAGTGCACTTCTAATGGCTTTGGGGACAATGAGAAGCACAGGTGTGCTACCCCACAACCCTTTGAGTTCAGTCTTTCTTGCTATTTCTGAGGGTCTTGGGCCTCTCAGATCTGAGCTTTACTCTATGCATTGAGCACCTGATCTAATTGGCTTTCCAGTCAGTTGCCTATTTGAATGAAAACCCCAGATGTTGATACCCACATCAAATTGGCCTGAAGGTCAATTCCTCCCAGGGATATCTTCTGCGGAGGAGTGTCCTCTGGCTCCTTGTGTTCCAAAACTTTTACTTCATTCTTGCGATCTTCCAGTCTGTTTTTAGGACTCTGTATAATATTTTTTTATGTCAGACAATATATTCTTTATTTCAAGTTGATCCCTTTTCATATCCTCATAGGTCTCATTTATTTTATTGGCCTTTTCTAGGAAATTCTTGAAAAACCTTATAAGCGTGGTTTTGAACTCTATATTCAGTCACTTTTTGTCCTCCATTTCTTTCCTTTGTGATCTATTTCCTTGTCTTGGCATTTTTGCAGCTTTCCTGAGTTGGTAGCCTTAAAAGTCTCTGTGTTCAGCTTGGATGGGGTGGAGTTTCAGGGTGGAGCCTACAGCCTTGGCTTCCGTCAGCCACGCCCTATGAGGCTCCTGAGTCTCCGTATTCCTCAGGGTCCTTCAGTAATCGTTGCAAGCACCTCTGAGAGAAAGGTGCCCTCGAGTTTCGCCTGCTACCAAACAGTCTAGACTCTCCCCCAATGAGCCCGAAACTGCGATTCAGTTCAGTTGGAAGTGGGGTTGGAAGTGGGGTTCAGAGCAGTCTGGAGCTTTTGTCTCCTTCCCGTTAGGGCAATTGGGTGGCACAGTCAACAGTCCGTCCTCTGTGAGCAACGTGCGCACCTCCGGGATTTCTGTTCACCGCTCCCCTGGGTTTCCGCCTTACAGCCCAGGCTCCCTCTGTATAAGAGTGGGTTCCTAGGGTCTGGCCTAGAACTGGGGTTCAGTGCTGTTGGATCTGGGGATCAGCACAGTCCAGAGCCTTTATCTCCTTCCCACTAGAGAACGCCAGCCAGGCACTCAGCCACCCCTCCTCTCCGGCTTCTTTCTCTCTGCATGCAATGTGTCTCCATACCTTAGGCTTTTACAACTCCGCTGATTTCCCTTCTACAATTTCTCATTGTAGAATTTCCAGTCAATCAACTTTCCTGTAGTTCTGAGTAATGTCCATTTTGTATTTTAGTTGTATTTTATTGAAATTGTTGTGTGAGGCTGCATTTAGGTGTTACCTATCCTGCCATCTTGGATTCTCCTGAAAACATCTTTATACCATATTTTCACAAACTGTTCTAAGACAGCAAACTGCTCAATTGTTTATCTATGGCTTTAAAATAAACTACTGGTAATTCTAAAAAAAATAAAGAAAGAAAGAAAAATAAATAAAATTATAGAATGCTGCACAAATTTGTGTGCCATCCTTGCTGAGGGACCATGCTAATCTTCTCTTATCATTCCAATTTTAGTACATATACTGCTGAAGCCAGTGCCTGAATCACTTTTTTTTTAAATAAATCTTTATTGTTCAGATTATTACAAATGTGATCCTCTTCCCCCCCTCAATTGCTCCCCTTCACCAGGTTCCCACCCCACCCTCTGTCCTTTCCCCATCCCCCGTTGTCCTCATCCATAGGTGCACAGTTTTTGTTCAGTCTCTTCCCGCACCCCCACTCCCCTTTTCCCTGAGAATCGTCAGTCCACTCCCCTTCCATACCTGATTCTATTATATTCACCAGTTAATATTATTCATCAGATTTTTAAATTCCCTTGGTTTTTAGATTCACTTGTTGATAGCTACGTATTTGTTGATCATAATTTTTATCTTTACCTTCTTCCTCTTCCTAAATAACCTCCTTCAGCAATTCATATAATTCTGGTTTGGTGGTGATGAACTCTTTTAGCTTTTTTTAATTTGTGAAGCTCTTTATCTGTCCTTTGATTCTGAGTGATAGCTGTGCTGGGTAGATTATTTTTGGCTGTAGGTTCTTATTATTCATCACCTTGAATATTTCTTGCCATTCCCGTCTGGCCTGCATGGTTTCTGTTGAGAAATCAGCTGACAATCTTATGGGTGCTCCTTTATAGGTCACTACCTGCTTTTCTCTTGCTGCTTTTAATATTCTCTCTTTTTCTTTTGCTCTTGGAATTTTAATTATGATATGTCTTGGTGTGGTCCTCCTTGGATTCCTTTTGTTTGGGGTTCTGCGGGCTTCCTGGACTTGTAAGTCTATTTCTTTCCCCAGGTGGGGGAAGTTTTCTGTCACTATTTCTTCTAGTACTCTTTCGGTATCTTGCTCTCTCTCTTCTGGAATCCCCATAATTCTGATGTTGGTTTGCTTGAAATTGTCCCAGAGGTTTCTTACACTATCTTCAACTTTCTGGATTCTCTTATCTTCTCCCTTCTGCAGAGGAGTGTCCTCTGGCTCTTTGTGTTCTAAATCTTTGTTTTGATTCTTGCGATCTTCCAGTCTGTTTTTAGGACTTTGTATAATATTTTTTATTTCAGACAATGTTTTCTTCATTTCTTGTTGATCCCTTAATATTTCTAGTTGCTCCCTTTTCATATCCTCATAGGTCTCATTTATTTTATCAGCCTTTTTTAGGATATTGTTGAATAACCTTATAACTGTAGTTTTGAACTCAATGTCCAATCTTTTCTTTTCCTCCATCTCCTTCCTTTGTGTCCTTCTTCTTGTCTGCATTTTAGTTGTTTCCCTGATTTGATGAAATAGCTTTGTGTGCTAGGTGTTCTGGTAGAGCCCAGAAGCACAGCCTTCTCAGTTACCTGCGGTGGACAGTCTTGGTGTAGCCCTTTGTGGGCTGTGTGTGCAGTCTTGTTGTTAAGCCTTGCTTATTGTTGGTATCACTGGGAAGCATTGATCTCCAAGCCAATTGGCTGTGAGGATCAGCAGTGTCTCAGTTAGGAGGGTTTCTGTACTCTGCTTGAATAGGGCGGTGTCTCATGGTGGCGCAGACTATCTTTGGTTCCCTGTCAGTCTCGCCTTAGAAAAGTCCTGTTCGTGGAGAGTTTTGGAAGATTGGTTGCAGGCGCGCGCGCACCTCTTTGGAAAAGGCACAGACAAGCTTTGGATTCCTGCAAGTCCCTCCTTAGAGAAAGCCAGCCTCTGGGAGAGCTTCTGTGCTCAGCCACAGGTAGGGCGGAGTCTCGGGTTGGTGCAGACAAACTTTGTTTTCCCTTTGGCTCCTCCCCAAGTCCTGCAGTAATGGCCTCTGGCTTCACACACCTCCGAGAGATCTCTGCCCACTGCCTGACAGTCTGGTCTCTCCCTGTCTGGGGCCGTCTATCAGAGCAATAGGGTGATTCTGTTTTCCTCTCGGACAAGAAAGCCAGCCGCGTTAGCTGTTCGCCCTCTCCGCACCAGGAGTAAGCCAGCAGCAATCTCGGTCCAGCCCTTCCTCTCCGCATTGGGATTAAGCCAGCGCCTTTTCGCGCACACAGTTCTCCGTACCTTCACAGTTCCTGAGGTTCAGCGTGCCTTCTCTCTCCTTCCCAGATGGCAGAGCCTCCTCTCAGCCAGCTGTCTGGCGCTTCAGGGCAATGCCTCCCCTGTTTTTCAGTTCTAAATTCAAATTTGTTGTGGTAGGCTGCATTCGGGTGTCTACCCTATGCCGCCATCTTGGTTTCTCCCAAGAGTATTACTTTTTATTTTTTTTCTCTCTTTTTTTTATTGAGGTATTATGTGTGTACAATCTTACCATTGCCTCTCTCCCAATCCCATACATGCCCTCCCTCCCCAGAGTTTTTTTTTTTAATAATTCTTTATTGTTGAAAGTATTGCATATGTTCCCTTCCTCCCCTCTCCGCCCCCTCCCCCCATTAACTCCCATCCTGCTCCGCCCTGCCCCCTGCCCCAGACCTTCAGCATCCTATTGTCTGTGTTATGGGTATATGGGTTATACATATATGCATACCAGGTTTTTGGTTGATCACCTCCCTTCCACCCACCCTCCTCCACCTTCCCTCTGAGATTCTGCACTCTGTTCCATGCTTCTCTGGATCCACTATGTTGTTCAGTTTATTTTTACTTAGATTCCACATATGAGTGCAATCATGTGATACTTGTCTTTCTCTGACTGGCTTATTTCACTTAGCATGATACGCTCCAGGTCCCTCCATGCTATCTCAAAGAGGAAGAGATTCTTCTTTTTTACCACTGCATAGTGTTACGCCCAGACTTCATGATCCCCAAGGACCACCAGGGAGCCGAGTCCGATGCAATAAACAAAAGAGCCTCTTCCGTGCTACCATGGGCTCTGTCCCACTCACACCGGCAGCATGGCGGAAGAGAGCGAATTTCGTCCAGTCCAGGGGTTTTACTCCAGTCAGTGGTGATGTCACTGCCTCGGCTAACCCTGATTGGTTGGGTGAGGGCTAGGGTTAACTCCGCCCTGCCCAGCAGTGGAGTCAGGAGCTCATCCTCGCCCCACCCTTTCATTCCCCCCTTGTCTTATGTGCATGAGTCAAATCATTGACTCAGCCTACCTCCCTTCAGCATAAACAACAAATACAGTTACCAAGACCTTAGGACCACAGTTCCCACCATACAATAGGCTTTCTTGTTGTTGTTGTTGTTGTTGTTGTTTCTTTATTCTTCAGATTATTACAAATGAGATCCTCTTCCCCCACTCAATTGCTCCCCTCCACCAGGTTCCCATCTCACCCTCTGTCCTTTCCCCATCCCCCATTGTCCTCATCCATAGGTGCACAGTTTTTGTTCAGTCTTTTCCCACACTCCCACTCCCCTTTTCCCTGAGAATCATCAGTCCACTCCCCTTCCATACCTCTGATTCTATTATATTCACCAGTTAATATTATTCATCAGATTTTTAAATTCCGTTGGTTTTTAGATTCACTTGTTTATAGTTACATATTTGTTGTTCATAATTTTTATCTTTACCTTCTTCCTCTTCCTAAATAACCCCCTTCAGCAATTCTTATAATTCTGGTTTGCTGGTGATGAACTCTTTTAGCTTTTTTTTTATTTGTGACGCTCTTTATCTGGCCTTTGATTCTGAGTGATAACTTTGCTGGGTAGATTATCTTTGGCTGTAGGTTCTTATTATTCATCACCTTGAATATTTCTTTCCATTCCCGTCTGGTCTGCATGGTTTCTGTTGAGAAATCAGCTGACAATCGTATGGGTGCTCTTTTATAGGTAACTACTTGCTTTACTCTTGCTGCTTTTAATATTCTCTCTTTGTCTTTTGCTCTTGGAATTTTAATCATGATGTGTCTTGGTGTGGTCCTCCTTGGATTCCTTTTGTTTGGGGTTCTGTGGGCTTCCTGGACTTGTAAGTCTATTTCTTTCCCCAAGTGGGGAAAGTTTTCTGTCACTATTTCTTTCAGTATTCTTTCGGTATCTTGCTTTTTCTCTTCTGGAATCCCCATAATTCTGATGTTGGTTTGCTTGAAATTGTCCCAGAGGTTTCTTACACTATCTTCAACTTTCTGGATTTCTTATCTTCTCCCTTCTGCAGAGGAGTGTCCTCTGGCTTTTTGTGTTCTAAATCTGTCTTGATTCTTGCGATCTTCCAGTCTGTTTTTAGGACTTTGTATAATATTTTTTATTTCAATGTTTTCTTCATTTCTAGTTGATCCCTTATTATTTCTAGTTGCTCCCTTTTCATAACCTCATAGGTCTCATTTATTTTATCGGCCTTTCTTATGATATTGTTGAATAACCTTATAACTGTACTTTTGAACTCAATGCCCATCTTTTCTTTTCCTCCATCTCCTTCCTCTGTGTCTTTCCTCTTGTCTGCATTTTAGTTGTTTCCCTGATTTGATGAAATAGCTTTGTGTGCTAGGTGTTCTGGTAGAGCCCAGAAGCACAGCCTTCTCAGTTACCTGCGGTGGACAGTCTTGGTGTAGCCCTTTGTGGGCTGTGTGTGCAGTCTTGTTGTTAAGCCTTGCTTATTGTTGGTATCACTGGGAAGCATTGATCTCCAAGCCAATTGGCTGTGAGGATCAGCAGTGTCTCAGTTAGGAGGGTTTCTGTACTCTGCTTGAATAGGGCGGTGTCTCATGGTGGCGCAGACTATCTTTGGTTCCCTGTCAGTTTTGCCTTAGAAAAGTCCTGTTCGTGGAGAGTTTTGGAAGATTGGTTGCAGGCGCGCGCGCACCTTTTTGGTAAAGGCACAGACAAGCTTTGGATTCTGGCCAGTCCCTCCTTAGAGAAAGCCAGCTTCTGGGAGAGTTTCTGTGCTCAGCCACAGATGGGGCGGAGTCTTGGGTTGGTGCAGACAAACTTTGTTTTCCCTTTGGCTCCTCCCCAAGTCCTGCAGTAATGGCCTCTGGCTTCACACACCTCCGAGAGATCTCTGCCCACTGCCTGACAGTCTGGCCTCTTCCTGTCTGGGGCCATCTATCAGAGCAATAGGGTGATTCTGTTTTCCTCTCAAACAAGAAAGCCAGCCGCACGTTAGCGGTCCACCCTCTCTGTACTCCAGGAGTAAGCCAGCAGCAATC